AAAAGATGATGTTAAAATTAAAAGGGGACTTTTTAGTGTTTCCTATGCAAGCTTTTATACATAATTCTGTATAATGTAATCAGTATCACACAAGCTTCCGATTCTGCTTCTCGTTTGACTTTTCAGCAATGCACTTTTACAATTTATTATTCACTACACTCTTCAATCCTTTCAACTAATGACTTCTATTGGCAAATACTACCAACAGATGATTCTCAACCGATATTTTGCTTCTGTTACAGTAAATCAACAAGCAAAATTTGAATTTATTACACACATTCCCAAAATAAAGAAGAGAGGTTGAATTTCTAACTTTTTTCTCCCTATTTTGCAGTAACTAGTGATGTCCGAAAATTCGCCATAGTTGGAAGCATAAAACCGGTAATTTCTGGTACAGTAACATGAACATACTATGCAGGGCTACAGTTTAAACAATACACTAGATATCAACAATGAAAACAAAGACAACAAATCCGAAAACAAAAAAAAAAAAACCTTTAAATCTCCAGGCATCTTAGATGCCAGAGCCTCAGCAAAATCAGCTATTGCATGGTGCAAATATATTGTGGTTGCGTGTTGTAGTAGCTTGCTTTGTTCGGTTATGGCATTCAAGATCTCGGGATGGCAGTGACCACAAGAAACTGTCACGATTCCAGCAAATGCATCGAGATATCTTCTTCCATTCTCATCATACAGATACTGCATTTTTCCTTCGACAATATTCAGCTGTTCGAACATAAAAGTTACGAAAATAAAAAAAGACATATTAATACGAATGAGGCCGCAATAGATTTGGAGAAACTAATGTGACTATCAATTAGAAGCTTCCACGCTGGTTGGTTGTTGATCATCAATATCAAATACATAAAGAATCCCAAAAAGAAAATAAATCGAGAATTCATGTTAATGTTCAAGCAAAATCAGATAAGATCACTTGATAATTCTAGTGACAGGCACACACTGAATTTTGCACACAAAAAGAAGACAAAACAGAAAAGCATTCACGAAACGAACTAAGATGAAATCACAATGGGAAAAAAAGGGAATTCACCAACAGAGTTTATGCAATTAAAAGTCCCCAAAAGCCAAAAGATTGGGAAAAGAAAAGAAAAACAAGCTCCATCAACACTTCAAACCAGCCGCCACCACAGTATCATGCGACTTTTTGTCTGCACACACACACACACACACACACACACATTCTGTATGTACAGTATAGATAACGGGCTTACGGGCTTTTGGTAGTAATGAAAAAGAGAAGGGCCGAGATATCTCCTGCGCTTCTCCAGAACCTCATCGGCCAAAGGGCCAGTGTACGGCTTGGGCTCGTAGTCGAAAGCCGGCAGATCCGGCTTCTGAACCGAAGCCGAGAAGCCACGCCGCGGCCCCACATCGCCACCGCAAAGCCACCGCCTTGCGTGGTTCCTTACGAGAACTCCACCGAATAGCTTCTTCTCCAACCCCATGGTTAGAACAGAGGATATTGAATTCACAAACACGCAAGAACACACACACACGCCCACACAGAGACAGACAGTTTTGTCTGGGCTTGGATTTTGTGAAAAGGGGCTTTTTTTTAATGGAAAAATGAAACCGATAATGGTGAGGGGTTGGTGTTGAAGCTTATCAGATTGTCTGTGTTTTAGGCTTGCTGTTGCTGATGATGGGAAGATTCTATCAGCTGTGTTTTGATCTGTTTATTTAAACGACAATTACTGCATTCTGCAAATTTATATTTGCCAGTCGTGACATTACTATTTGGTATAGTTCTCTATATCTATATAATATAGAGTAGATGCTACGGTTCCGTTATGTATTCTATCGGAGTCTGCAATCGTTAGATTAATTATCCTTAAATGTTATATGATGATCTAATAGTTACAAATTCGAATGACGTAACATTTCTCTTTATGTTAGGGCGCTTTAATAATTGGAGTACTCATATTTGGACCTTTTCTCTCATGTTGGTTTAGGATTCATGTAACTATAAAATCACTACTTAAATTTATAAATATATTATAAATCTTCATAATTATTTATTTAATATTTGATTTTCATATATACTATATTGAATTAATTGTCTCTTAACCATCTTTGGCATCCTCGTAAAATAAAAATATTATCTCACTCCAAATCTCACACACACATACTTAATATTCTATGAAATTCCCATAAAATCTGAAAATTTTAAAGTCTTAAATCTCAGAAAAATCTCAAAATGTCATTTGAAATCCAAACGAATAGACCCATGCAAAAGACTTTTAGTATTTTCAGAAATCTCGTGGTATTTAATTTAGACTTTTTAAAACTTATAAAATTCTCGAGGTATTCATTTGAAATTTTTAAAAAATTTACAAAATCATAAAGTATTTGACTTAATTTACATGAGATTTGTTATGACTACTTAGAGGTTTATTGAGATTTCATAAGAGGAAAAATCATATAGGAAATCGCACTCTAAGGGTGTGCTTGGATACAAATATATCCGTTCAAAATGAGTTTTTTGTTAATCAAAGTTGATTTTGAAAAGCATGATATGTTTAGTTGTTTGGGTTTTTAGTTTGTATTAAAATAATATTAAAAATAAATAATTAAAATTGATTTGATATAAAAGTAGAAGAGATGATGTGAAGTGATGGTTAGTTAAAATCATGTGAGTGGATTAAAGTTGATGTATTGTGTAAAAATGATTGATTTTATTATTTAATTATATTAATAATAATGAGAATAGTCGAGTTGCATTAAAGTTAAGTTAAATTTTTAGTATTGATTAAACTATTTTATAAACAAACACACAACAAATTTCACCTCCAAACTTTCAGCTAAATATGAAAACATCAAGAAATCTCAAATATAAAAATGTCACAAAATGTCACTAAGAATCTCAAATGAATACATCCTAAAATTGCAACCTAAAAAAAACTCAAGTGACCATTTTCACAAAATTTGAGACTAAATTTGCAATAAGATCAATTATGTGAGACTAAATTTATAATTTTCTCAATATTCAAGAATCCAAATTTTCCTCTAACCAAAATCACAATGTGCACAATTAAGGAAAAAAAAAATAAAAAAAAATCAAAAGCTTGCCAATTACAAGATCCTCCCCATTCATATAAATTTAAAATATCTAAAATCACGAAGACCCCAAACAACACTTCTCGTAAGCCTCCTTCAATTCTTGGGCATCACTACTGAATCTCGACACATAAACACTCAGAAACTTCTTTTCCGTTATCTTCAACACAGTGACAAAACTTGGCTCCTTCTCCAGAAGCCCCCTCGACTTCACCATCTCCATCACTCTCAGCCTCGGTATCATTCTCTTCTCCACGCTAAGCGTCAAAAGTGAAGGTGACCGCACCAGAATCGACCTGTCAAACCCGACAGTCCTTGTATAGAACTCGACCCCACGCCTCAGCTTCCCTTCAGACGCCTTGAAAAGAATAGGCGACTTCAAGAAAATCGAATCACACTCGTCCCTCGTGAAGCCAAGCTCCCGAAACAACTCGAACTTTCTACTAAGAGTCTTGGGATTATAGCTGTAGAGGACTAGGACAGCGTATATCAGCATCCTCGAGCCCGTCTTGAAGCCCATCTCAAAAGCCCGTGAGACGAGGCCTTTCAGGTCATCCCCCGGCATGGAGAACATCATAGGCTCGCTTTTCAGAAGCATGATCAGTTGAGAGCCCAATACCCCGCAGCTCCTCAGGTAGGCTATATTGGATTCCAGGCTCGACCCGCTCATGACGATCAAGCCGCAACTCGAGAGTATGTGGAAAACGAGAAGGTTAATTTCGTCCTTCTTTAAGTTTAAGCTCAGGTGGAGCTCGAGGACATTCTTGATAGCTTCGATGCTCGGTTTTACCCTTCTGTGCAGGCTGCTGGTCAGGAGGCCAGGGTTCTTGGAGATGATGATCGGCAGGAGTGGCCCCTGCAAGCCCAGTTCTTGATAGAAGTCGATTTTGGGCTTGAGATTCTTATCGACATCCAAGAATAGGAGCATGGGTTGGCGTTTGATTGCTCTCTGCAGATGGGCATTGGAGAGGCCGAGGGATTTCAAGTAGTGGACGACTGAGTTGGACTTTTGTGTGGAGAGTGTTGGTGAGACCCGGCTGGATATTGAGGCCGCTTCGCGTGGGGTGTAATTTAGAAATTCCATGAGGTAGTTGGTTAGAAGGTTGTTATTGGAGCTCGAGTCTCGGGTGGTTGAGGTTGTACAGAAGCCTCTGTTTCGGGAGGATTTGAGGAAATTCGTGAAGGTGGAAAGAAGGGAACTCAAAGGATACAAATGAGGGTCCTTCACAAGGAAGATGTGGGCCGACATCAATTTTGCCATCACGTTTTTAACTCAAAGGATGGGGTATGATCTTTTAATACTTGACAGAATCACGGGTTAGTTTGATTATCCTGCAACACAGCAAAAGGAA